ATATGAAGCTGAAAGACTTTCTTACCGAATACCTTGATGGCATGGGTGTCGAGGAAGTGAATAAGAATGTCAGTATGGAAGCGTTTGTCGTGGAGCCTGGTATGTTCATCACTGACAATAGGCTGTTGAACGTCATACTTGCGATGTCGCCATTCAAAGCAATAGTAGAGGAAATGAGATACAGGGAAGCACAGAGGGAAGCTGAGCACAAACTCAAAGAGACTGGTGTGTATTCTCTCCGACAGTGGGACGTGTATGATAAAAAGGAACNATGAAGCTGAAAGACTTTCTTACCGAATACCTTGATGGCATGGGTGTCGAGGAAGTGAATAAGAATGTCAGTATGGAAGCGTTTGCCATCAGACCAAAGAGATATATAAAAGACGAGAGGCTGTTGAACGTCATACTCGCGATGCCGTCATTCAAGACAATAGTAGATGAAATGAGATACAGGGAAGCACAGAGGGAAGGAGAGAGGGAAGCACAGAGGGAAGCTGAACACAAGCTCAAAGAGACTGGTGTGTATTCTCTCCAGCAGTGGGACGTGTATGATAAAAAGGAACAAGTTAACCCTTTGGTGAGAGCAGTGTTAAATGCAGCTCTTGACGCAATACGGAGCTATGAGAAGAAGGAGGAGGAACGTCAACGCCAACTGAGGGAAGAAGAGCAACGCCGACAAGTAGGGGAAACCCTGTCAGGCGTCTACGAGTCTGTATTTAACGCTACATGGAATCATGTGGTGGAGGTCCCTGGTGACAGTGAAGGAGTCGGAATGGAGGTGAGGGAAGGCAGGCCGTCGAGGGAATGGACAGACGAAGAGGTGGGCTATGTTCTTCTTGGTGGTGCTGTGGGTACTAACGGGAATCACGCAAATAGAGAGAATATGGCGAATCCGGAGGAACCACGTAAGAACGAAGAGGGCACCAGGCCAGAGGGGACGGCGGATCTACAGGAACCACCTGCTGAGCTAATGGTGCTCAATTCTGAAGAAGGTTGGCCGTACACGTGGTTAATGGCAGAAGCCAGTTGCGACTGCCACATCGGCCGCGAGACGGAACGTGTTTGGCGCATCATTAAGCGTGATGTAGACGAATGGTTTGCGTGTCGTGGTGGNTGCCAAATCGGCCGCGAGACGGAACGTGTTTGGCGCATCATTAAGCGTGATGTAGACGAATGGTTTGCGTGTCGTGGTGGGGATGATGCGGGACCGGGAAAGCGTCTTTTGATTGGGACACCTGGTATGGGGAAATCAATGGGGACTGGTTCGTATCTCCTCTACCAACTGTTGCACTATGACAAGGAACGACTTCCAGTGGTTGCATACTTCATTAAAGATTACGTGTTCATCTTTGACAAAACCAGAGGTGAAGAACAAGGACGCGTGGAGCGCTACGAAAGCATTGAAGGTGGAGAGAATGCTGTGGGACGTCTCTCTCTTACTGTGAGGGGATACATAATCTACGATGTGGCAAAGCAAGGAAGTGAGCCGTCAGTGGATTTACCTCCAAAGGGATGGGGCATGATTGTTGTGAGCTCTCCAAACAAGGACAACTTCAAAGGATGGGAGAAACAAAGAAGAGCAAGGCGTATCATAATGAATTGCCCTGAGACGAGTGAACTGAATGCGAGGTGTGTGTGGATACACCACGATAAAACAGAGGAGGAACAACAGAAAGAATGGAAGGCTGTGGAAGAGCGTATAAGCAATGTGGGACCACTTCCCCGCTACATTTTTTGTAGTGAAATTGAGTACAGAGGTCGTCTTGATGCGGTCGACGAGGCGTTGAGCTGTATCACACCATCCAATGCCGACCTATACTTTGGAGTGCACAAAGGATGTGCTTGGCAAGGCCAAGATCCCTGCCAAATGCTTGGGAAAATCACTCGGTATTCCGCGCCAGGGGAAGCCGAGTATTACAGCAACGATCCGCTGGCATCTGAGATAAGGAAAGCAATAAGGTACCGTGCGGGAGATGCTGTTGACACCTCTGCTGCTCTGATGTCGTTGTTGCTTCCATTTGAGGAGATGGTGCCGAAAATCATGGATAAATTTGCAGTTGCGGCATTTTTGCACGAGGAGTTCGT